TTTAAAAAAAAAAAAAAAAAAAAAAAAAAAAAAAAAAAAAAATCTTGTACAGAATACATAACAGAAGCAATGGTGGCTGGGAATGGTTTATTTTATCCCATTTTCGGTTTTGCATCGTTAGTTCTCTTCATTTACATGTCTTTTGGGGACATGAGGTTGGGTTTTGAGGAAGGGCCAGAAGTGTCTTTTGTGGGTAGAAATGGTACACAGTTTGTGTTGGATGGAAAACCTTTCTACATCAATGGTTGGAACTCTTACTGGTTAATGGTGCAATCTGTGGATGATTATTCAAGGCCAAGGGTGCGTGAGATGCTGAAAGCTGGGGCCAAGATGGGTCTCACTGTCTGCAGAACTTGGGCTTTCAATGATGGTGACTACAATGCTCTTCAAACTTCACCTGGTGTCTTCAATGAGCAAGCTTTCAAGGTATTCTGTTTGTAGTTAGTTGGCTTTGGTTGTTGTGATTCTTTAATGCTCTTTTTGTTTCATGTTGTTCTCCCTATAACTCATATTTTTTTAAGGATACCGACATAATTAGACTTTGATCAGTGTCTAGTAGTGGTAGTACGGAAGCTATTTTGGTTTTGTTTTCTTTGTGAGTGGCTTATGAATCACTTGTTATTCTTTTCCCCCTGAAATTGGGGTCTTATGTCTGGACTAAGATCACAGAATTGGATTTGTATGGTTGAGGGAAATCTGGCTTTGTATATGTATAATTGCTGAGATTCATTAGGGCAGAGAGCAGGGATACACTGATGGTGGCTAAATATGACACGATCCGCAGCATGCTTATTGGTGCCAGGATGAATTTTGTGGTTAAATATGTTTTCTCTTTTTTCTTCAAAAAATCTCGAAAACAAAATTTACTGAAAATGAAAATGCAAACCAAACAGATCCCAAGCTTGTGTTTCAAAGTGTGTATGTATTTCTATCATAAAACAATTACGAATGGATCCTTAGTATAGCAACAAGTGGTCCTTCTCTCTTTGATCAATCTTAAAAGTTTAAGGTGAAGGTCGCCTTTCTGTTTTTTAATTGAAAAGTCTATCTGTGATTGTTAAGTTTTGTAACTTTCAGTACATGCTTTTTGATATGTATTCCTGTAGAAGTTTACAATGGATGTCTTGGAAATTTGTATAATGCTGTATATCCCTCTGATCATGCTTGATAGAATTAAAAACAGCTTTATCTCCAATTACTGAATGCTGATTGATTATCCTGTTGGTCCCATGAAGTAGATTAATTGCCTTATTCATTAGCATTAGCTGGTGAAAGATGAAAACTTTTCTGAGCTTTTGATTGGGTAACAGGCCTTGGATTATGTTATAGCAGAAGCAAGGCGTCATGGAGTTAGGCTCCTCCTAAGCTTAGTGAATAACTTGCATGCATATGGTGGGAAGACTCAGTATGTTGAATGGGCATGGCAAGAAGGAGTCGGACTAAGCTCATCTAATGATTCGTTTTTCTATGATCCATCAATTCGTAGTTATTTCAAGAATTACGTAAAGGTATGATATGTCGATCTCAGGTTCTCAGTACTTTTTCCCTTCTTTCACTCTCTATAAAATTATCCTGGACGAGATATTGATGAGCCATTCTGCCAAGATTGAATCATTGTTGTACCAGTTTAGCTTTGTTTCGAAACAAAGAGCAAGATGATCTAACGACAAAATTTTCGTTCTTAAAATGTGTAAACCTTAAATTCCGAAGCTTCATTCAGTATCTAAACATATGCAATGGCAGCAATTATTATTAGATAAATTAGCTGTTTAATTTCCGCAGACTATTCTGACAAGGAAAAATACTATTACCGGAATAGAATATAGAAATGACCCCATCATTCTTGGTTGGGAGTTAATTAACGAACCTAGGTGCATGACTGATCCTTCCGGAGACACTCTCCAAGTAAGTCCTGTTCTCGAATATAGCGATGTTACTGCTTCTTGTGTATAATGTGAGTGTACAATGTACTTAATTGGAGTTTATTTGCAGGATTGGATAGAAGAAATGTCAGCTTTCGTCAAATTAATTGACAAGAACCATCTTGTGACTGTTGGTCTTGAAGGCTTTTATGGTCCTAACGACCCAAAGCGTTTGACGGTCAACCCTGAGGACTGGGCATCAAGACTTGGATCTGATTTCATTAGGAATTCAAAAACTGAGAATGTTGATTTCACCTCTGTTCATATATATCCTGACCACTGGTATGCATTGGATGACTTGTATCTATATTCTATAGTTTTATATCTTCATGTCTCAAGGAACTAAAATTTAGAACTTCACATGAACTCCACCTGCAGAATGAAACATTGTCTGTTTTACATGGTTTACCATCTAGGGCAATGATTCAATTGAAATTTTATTATGCCGTTTAGGATCTGCCTTCGGATTCTGTAGTCAGGAATGCAAAAAATCTGAAATCTTCTTTTCGGATTTTTCTTTCTCTTTTGTACTTTGTCCTTTATTGAATT